CTAATGGCCTGACCAAACGAACTCTCTCATCTCTAAAATCCTCTGCCCATATGAACTGTCGGAGCTGGCTGTTGGGTCAAAGCTGGAGCTATACTCTGAACTTCTGGGTATTCTCAGAGAATATGATATAGGGATCCATAATGGTAGCAACCCCTGGTTCCAAACTGACAAACTCTTGGGTGATTTCTACCACAGAGAGAACAAGTGGGATGAGAATGTGCTCTCGACAATCCCTCAGAACTATTCATCGATGCGATAAATAATGACCTCCTGCTCTGACTGGTCATACTCCCACATTCACTCTTGCTTTGTGATGGTCAGCTAGACTGGCCTGTCGAGACTCTCCCAAATTCTTGAGATTCTCTCGACCTCTTGGATGGCTAGGCTGTCTCTACTGACTCAACCACCTCTCTACCCTGACCTGAAGATGCACCTTCTTCCGTTGCTCTCTTTCACACAACTCTTTCTACTTCCTTTGCGTGAAAAACTAACTCAATAAAGACTCGTGGTGGATTACTGGCCAAGTGAGTGATGATGTCTAGTCGTAGACCCTCTTAAAACTTTCTACAGTGATGATACTCTGATAAAACCAACTCTGGGGCATATCTAATCATCCGGAAGAACTCTGCCTCATACTCGAATACTAATCTATTCCCTTGGGTTAATTGAGCAAATTGATCGTTCATCTCATCCTTATGGGCCTCTCAATATACTTCTATCGAAATTCCTCTAAGAATTGATCCCAGGTGAGTTGCCCAGGCTTTAAAGACATCTCCACAGTCTCTCACCAATTTATCATATCACCTTTCAGTAGGGAGATAACGCACTCCAACATTCACTCAGGAGAGAGATACAACTGACGAGGAATCCTAAGGGTTTCTCTTAACCAATGATCAGCTACTATTGGATCATCATCACTTGGGCTAAAAAACTCAGTGGTCTGGTACCTCTAGAGCCTCTCTAATGGGGTTTCCTGAGGTGCTACGACTGGAGGAACTGGCTGAACTGATGGAGCAATGGGCATCTGAGGAATAGCCCTCGCTATGCACTCTAATGTGGGGGTCTAATTTTTAAAGAACGCAGCATCATCAACTCATGTGTCTTCAGGCTCTCTATGTTAGGAGTATAAGACGAACTTATCTCTTGAATCCTTAGCCAAGGAAGCTCTACTATCGTCTCTACTCTCTTGACTATGGTTTGAGCTCTCATTCATATCTAAGATATGATATTAAGAGGAAAACGAGGAATTACTACTATTGCAGATACAGAAGTACGACATAAATCTTTAGGGGCATGTATACTCATACACTCTTTACCGACACTGACTCATACACTTTTTCTTACTTTATTTTACCATAAAATGACTATTTCAAAAAACTATTCTTAAGAAAACATCCATAAAAATAAAATATATTAAAGTTTTACACTGGGAACTCCCAAAATAAAGTATATACATATCAAAATAATACATACCAACTTCATTAAATCTACGACTCAACCAGAAAAATATTTACGAATATACATGCCCTATAAAAAATGTTGAGACATACTCTGATCTACCCTAGTCTAGACCTCTATCATTTTACTGCTCTACCTAATATGCGTAAGGAAACAAATTCCAAACGCTGAGCTAACTAGCTCAGTGTCACACTAACAACTAAATCATACTAACTGTATATCATTGAAAGGCTCAAGCTATCAAGTATATTGCTATGCTTTACTGTAGTGAGTATACTTGTATACTCACTCTCTACTCTAAGGCAGACATAATGGTGTGGTTGAGGCAATGCATCTCGAAGCTCACACACCTCTATAGTCTACAGATGATAAGGCCCCCGAAATCTCTACATTAGACACTATACCCTAGACTAACCCACCCCTTGCGAGTGTCATGTCTCGGCCAAAGTTAGTCAGCTTAAAGTGTCTTGCACACTCCCTAAGGATATATCTAGAATGCATCTATACTTTCGACATTGTTAGTTTTTCTAAAGGAACTCGGGTGTCCTGGTTGTTTCTCGAGCATTCAAACAAGGCTAGTCTTATTTGATCATACTTTATTCTCGTTTCTAAGTTTAAATTAAACATTAATATTATTATCACTTTTAGTATTATTTGGGAGTAATTATAAGCTTTTGGGAAACCTTACTTCTATAAATCCTCTTAAATTGATACCCAAACTGAACCCTTTGTATTGATACTAGCCTTGCAATATTGATACCTTCTCTTTAGTATCGATACATTGCCCAAAGTATCGATACTCTAGTGTTGAAATGTCTTGTAACTAAAGGGGAAATATCGACACTCTTAAAGGATTATCGATACTAGGACCTTGGGTATCGATACTCCCTTGAATACCGGTATAAAAAATGGCTACTGGAATCTCGATATCAATACCAAGCACCCTGGTCTCGATACCAGACCCTCAATGTCGATACTCCTTGAAGGGGTATCGATACTACTTCTTAAAACTCTTGAGTTTTAGGCTTCTCTCAAGAAAAGTATCGATATTGCTTCATGCAGTATCGATACAAACCCCAAATATACCCTATTTGGGCATGAATTGGCCTTCCAAACTCTCAAATTTCCCTACTTTAAGGTTTCCCAATGTGTTATTAAGTCTTATTTGATCTTAGGGGTCATAAATAAGGCTTAGAAACATACTAAAAACATTAAATATTAAATCTACCATGAAATTCTACTTAACATACTTAAATCTTAACTTTCTAACTTAAACTCATTTTTAATGATCTACAACTAGTATAAGAAAGTTGTGAGTGTGTTACATGGTTGTCTTCGCTGCTAAAAACCTCTCCAAATCATCTAGGGGTCACATTTTCTATAATCATTGCTTTAGAACTCTCTTCTATCTTTTTCACTAAACCAAAGCAAAATAAGGATATTACTAACTTGTTTAGAGCTTGGAAAATATGGTTAAAACACTCTAACAACCTAATTTTACTAAAACTAGCTTGGATCCTTTGATTCCCTTAACTTTCATAAAAACCCATTTTCTAAAACCATGTTCAAAACTAAAGATTTAGGGCTCAAATTGAAGCTTGAGGGAGGAGATTAATATTCTTACCTTGGTTGACTTAATCTAGACTTGGAACTCTTAAAGCTTGCTCTTTTTTCTTGAATGGGTAAATTGCTAATTTGGTTCATCTCCTTATTAACCTAACTTAAAACTACCACTAGACTTTAGCTCTTGGGCCAAATATAAGCCCAATACCCTTATAAACTAGTCCAAACTGATCTAGAATGTCTAATGGGCTCGATATACGGGTCTCGGTTTGACCCGAACTACCGGCCTAGGTTTCGGGGTATTACAATTATCTTGCTCTACATATTCAACAAACTCGTTCAACATTGTTCATTTCCTCTTGGAACTTAAAAAACCAATAGATTTGGTTTTGCTCTTGGTAGCTTGGTTCTTACCATTTCTATATCCATACTTATCCATCAGTTCACGTAGAAGACCTTCAATTCTATCAATTTTTTCTTGGATAATAAACTCACCATAAATTTTATCAAAATAGAAACGAATCAATTTCATCTTGAACTTATGATCAAGTATAATGGTCACTCCCATAAGACCATTAACATCAACTCAATACTTGTTGTACTTCTCAAACATTACTAGCACCATCTTTCTTATATAATCATAAGGTGATGAAAGCCAATTCGACATTGTTATTCTAAGCCCACAAATACATGGAAAATACTTTTTTTGTTGTGGGATATTTTGAGGCAGAAAATACAGGTGTCATATCATTAAACACTTTCAATAATTCATAAATTTTCTCCACTTTTCACAATCCTCATTGAGTGGTGGATTCTTAAACAAACTTTCACGGCCACTCAAGACAACAAATACCTCATTATATTTTAAAGAAACTATAAGCATGTCATAAGTTGAATTCCACCTATTCTTGCAGTCAAGTTGTAACTTTTTCGTATATTCAGGAACTACTTGCTTAGCTACTTGTTCAAATTCTTGATTTTTTTATCTGAAACAATCCAAAAGGTAACACTATCCATAATTCCATCAAGACCATTTTTTATCACATCACTCAATCCATCCTGAACTATCAAACTAAGTATGAGCACAACAGTGCATATGAAGAAAACATCCATACATCATAAGTGAAAGATAAGGAAACTCTTAGCACAAAATATCAATCATAGCATCATTAGTTGTGCAATTATCCACGGTTATAGAAGATAGTCTGATATCAATATTCCAATAGTGGATGCATTCTTTCAAATGTTCAGCAAGAACTTCAGCTGTGTGAGGTGCCGGGACATATAAAAACCTATCATATTAATGTGATATGCATGAACACATAAAATAAAGGAGAGTTGGTAATCGTTGTTACTTAGGAAATACGGGCTAACATCCGAGTTCCCCTAACAGCTTGGTTACTGAACTTGGTAATCGTTGTTACTTGGGGAAATTTATTAAATTAAAGCTTTTGGTTATATAGGTCCTCAGGCTTCATCTAGGCCCTCATTTTATATATATTAATGTACAATTGAATGTAATAATGTATAATATATATTTTATAGTTACTTACATGGTACTTTAGATATGTCGGACCTGGGTTTAGGCTGCTGTGGAATACTGTGAAGACATTTCTGGATCCCAAAACAACTTCAAAGATCCATGTAATTAAATACTTTTTTCTGCATTATTTTTGAAATTGAGTATATTTTTTTCTTTTTAATTTTCATTCCCTTTATTGGTTGGTGATTTGTAATTATTACATATATATGTAGCGTGTGCATTGACTTTAGGTTACTGGAAATAAGTACCAGAGCAAATTGCTTGAAATTATTGATTCCAGGTAAATGGGCTTTAGAACATCCATGACATGTTATATTGTTGTCTATCTTTGTTTTCCTCTATTTTGCAATGCAACTTTTGCCATTTTTCGCTTAGATTACTGATGTATATATTTTTATCAAACATTCTATTGCTGCCTCATTCTATCAAAAAGTTTATGGTAATATCTGAATTTCTTCTAACTTGTAATGATCCTTTTATTCTGACTAAAATTTTGACCTTTCTGTTTGCATTATCTCATTGCATATTCTGTTGTGTGAAGCAGTTGAAAGGTAGGGATACATCCACTGCAGAATCTGGATCAGAAGCTGAAGATATTGCATCCCCAAAAGCAATGAGGAACTATTCACAGCCTAGGCTGATCCCTGTTCCTGAAGAAGTGGGTTCTTTTGACATTATAATCCTTTATATCTGCTATGTAATCGAATTCCATTGCTTGTCCCTCATAATGTGTCAGATTACATTCATTATGAGTTTATATACTGTCGGATACAAGAGAAGTTAATATAGTATTCTGCCTTTGGAGCACTAAAATGATTTGGAATGTTGAGTTCAACAGTATGAAACTGGTTATAAAGTGCGACTGTTTTTGCTTTATTTTCATTTCAATCTGCTAATTGCATTTTTAGGGTTTTCTTGTTTGGCTGTCAATCAAGAGTATGCTTTGACTAATGATTTTCATGATGACTTCATTATTCATCTTATCTGATTCTCCTCCCAAGTTTATTAGCGTTGTCATTTTTGGCAATGTTGCTAATCCTCTTATTTGGCTTTGTAATTCATGCAGACTAAGGTTGTTGGGAAAACAAACCACCCTGGTAACTTCTCAGGCTATGATGAATATGTTCCAATGGTTGACAAAGCTGTTGATGCTACTTGGAATAAACAAACATCCCCCCTGATGCCTTCTGCTTCCAAAGATCAACAAATATACTCTTGTATATTGTGTTACCCTTTTAGATTCTACATATTTATTCTAAAAAACTTGTTTAGCCTGATTGTAACACGCTTAAGAAAATGAAATGGTATTTTCCAATTCAGGTGCATTAACATTGCCTGAAACTCCCAGAGCTCCAGAAGGAATTCAAGCTCGGATTTTGCTTACTGCTATGGCTTTTTTCATGACACTTTACACTCTGCTGCGCTCAGTAGCTTTCAATATAACCAGAAAGCTTCCTGGCACAGTTTCTGGTACTGACCTTACCCCTGATGCAACTCAAAGGGAAGAGCCTTCTCCATCTCCACCTCCTTCTCACGCAGATGCATTATCTTCTGTGCTCAAGAGGTTGGTTCTTGAGGAGAAAGTTGATACACTACAAGCAAAGCCATCTGAGATGCCTTACAAAATATTTCCAGTACATCTAAAATAATCCTATATATATTGGGTTTTACACAACATAGCTTTTTACGAGGTCTATTGTTTTAATTTCTAAGAAACACAGAGGGTTCAATTTAATAATATAACTATAATATATTTTAAAGATTAAATGATATTTATTTTTATTTTCTTAACATTTGATGTGCCGTATAAAAGCTCTGACAACTTATAAACCTTGTCCTTCTCCTTGTTCTTCTTCTTAAAATTCCTCCTGTTTATCAATGGCTTCCTGAAGTGCCTGCATATTCAACAAAGGAAAAACAAGCAATTAAAGTTCACGGGGATTTTTGAGTACTTAAAATTTAAGTATTTAATACCTTCTTGGTTGCAGATAGCTCTTCTTCAAGGACGCAAACTCTTCTTAATGCACCATTCAGCATCTGCTCTTTCTCCGGCGGCATGGTTGCCGGTTTCCGTATGATAAAACACACCGCCTCTTCCAATTTAGACAAGCGAATCATGGCTACGATACTTATAACGAAGCTCATCGGTGATCATTCCTGTCCCATCATCCTTCACTTGCCAACAATATGCAATTTTGGCCAAAAAAAGAACAATGTGGTGGTGATAGAACGCTATCATGTTGGTTCATCAAACTATCGTTACGTAGCGGTTGAAAGTTTGGTGGTAGTTGAAAGTTTAAAGAATCGATCCCCTTGTCCACGATCGGAATACAAGGATGAGTTCAATGGGTGAATTTACATTTGTTACCCAAAATCTGGTGAAATGTAACATAAAATTGCTCATCAACGTTGTGATTATCGAAATCACATCTAACTTCAAGCAACATGGTGAATTTACGTACTACATGGAATTTTGACATCGTCTTCGGGTAGAGGAACGATCTAACCGCACCCCATTGGAGCCTGAATACAGAGCCAGCTTGAGGATAAACATGCGGTTAAGAGTCTGCAATATAGAAGGGATAGATTTAGCTTCGTTTTCGCTGAAAGAAACTCTTTTGCTAAATGAAAGTTAAGTAAGATTATCTCGGGATAATTGTCAAAATCGATCTTCTGAAGGCGCTGTAGGAGCTCCATTGCAGCCTTGTTGAAGCTTTTAAGGCCCTGCTAAAAGTGTTCATTTAGTTAGCGCATAGGTATTAGACCTGCAACCAAGCAAAACTTTGAGACATACATATATGTACACACACAGACACACATATATGACCTATTTCACATAACACTCCTTCAAGATCCAAAATGGATGTGCTCTGATTAATTTGCCTTTCTGCAGCAATGGATGCAGCAGGGAACTTAACAGCAAAAGGTCTTCTCGAACTCCTTTACATGGTGCTTTAGATATCGGCCGCTTGTTGTGACTCAAGTCAGCTTGTTAGCATCGACTTGACCCTTTCGATATAAACAGTTCGTCCATCGATCTTCATCAACTCCATGATATCGTTGTGGATTACACTCAATCACTTCATTGTAGTCTTTGAAATCAAAGTCCTTGACATCAAAACCAGTCCGAAAGAAGCAAGTTTAGAACACAGATAAGAAGGTTGCAATGCGTGTACGTATATATAGCAGGTGTGATTCAATGTTCCTTGTTTTACCTCAATGATCATGTCCGCCCCCCCAAATCCATCCTCCTTTGGAGCATATCAGCCTTTGCTTTGCTTTTTCGAGATCGGATTTCATCGTCCTCAGGAATCTGTATCATAATATCAAAGAGTTAATGTGTAGAATATCCAAATACCATTTCATAATATGAAATTCAATTAAAGATTGTGGCTTTAGCATCATATGATGATCATCATATATATATATAATTATTTGACAGATTTTGAGTGTCATCTTTTTTTCATATTATATGATTATTTTTACTGTGCATAAGTTAATTGGGTTACATCTCAAGTTCAATGCTTCAACTGTTGTTTGATTTATGCAGACCGCAGAGCCCAGTTTTTGAAATGGACTGATAAAACAGCGTACAGCCCAATCCTAGTTCATAATGAAGTCTGAAACTTTACTGATTAAATTTGCTTCGTAATTCCTACAACTGGAAACCTAATTTTCACTTGTATTTTTGACACTAGCTGTCAACAAACACAAGCAAGCTGCATTTTCATCATTCATGGCGGCGACTACTCACAGCCTTCTCTCCCCCTCCCCATCTCTTCCCAAAACCCTTAACATCCTTTGAAACAAAACCCATTTACCCAACTCCCCGTTTTGCCCCTCAAACCATCCAAAAATCTCTTCGAACGCCATTCTCTCTCCCTCAAAGCCGTGCTCTCTCAAAACACTACTAAAACCCAGAGCCCCACCTTTGAACACTGTTTCACGAAATCGTCAGATGGGTTTCTCTACTGTGAGGATATCAAGGTCGAGGACATGATGGGAAAGGTGGAAAAGAGACCCTTTTATTTGTACAGTAAGCCCCAGATTACTAGGAATGTGGAAGCTTATAAGGATGCTCTTGAAGGCTTGAAGAATTCCATCATTGGGTATGCTATTAAGGCCAATAATAATTTGAAGATTTTGCAGCATTTGAGGAAGTTGGGTTGTGGTGCTGTGCTTGTTAGTGGCAATGAACTCAAGTTGGCCCTTCATGCCGGTTTCGATCCAACTAAGTACATTTTCTTACACTGGACAATGCTTGTTTTTATTTTTGCAAACTACTTGTGTTTTTGTTTCACATTTTGGATACAGAAGGATATAACTTTCTAAAAGGTTTGATCAAAAGTTTGGTTTTTTGTGTATAATAGAAGGAATTATTGCAATGACATGTGAATTTTAATGTATTCACCTTGGTCTATGATGTGCCATTGCCAAGTTGATGTTATGGTTTTTGTTTGACTGCTTATATTATTTGATTGGTGCTTATATCTGGATTTATAGGTGTATATTTAATGGAAATGGAAAGCTCTTGGAGGATTTGGTACTAGCTGCCCAAGAAGGTGTTTTTGTGAATGTGGATAGTGAATTTGATCTGGAGAATATTGTTGCAGCTGCAAAATTTGCTGGCAGGAAGGTTAATGTTTTACTTCGGATCAACCCCGATGTGGATCCTCAGGTAATGTAGTGGTTATACTATCAGGATTTAAGAGATGATAAGAGCATGTTTTTTAATCTGATTTTTAAATGTCTGTTTTAAATGATTTGACTATTACCCTGTAGGTCCATCCATATGTTGCCACGGGGAACAAGAACTCTAAATTCGGTATTAGGAACGAGAAGCTGCCGTGATTTCTGGATGCTGTAAAGGCACACCCTAATGAGCTGAAGCTTGTGGGAGCCCATTGTCATCTTGGTTCGACGATTACCAAGGTGTGTTAGCAACATCATGCTTATCTGATTTAGCTTTCTCCTAGTTAGATCTGGTTAGAGAATTTCGAGGCAGGTTTGCAGTGGCTGACCCTTTTTTTCTGATGACCAAGTTGACTGATGTAGGATCAGCTAGCACGTGCTTCTAAGATGCTTCCAGAGTTCCATCACTTCAATTAGATTATTTTCCATTTTCAATAGTATTATCGTCTTATTATTCAGAAGTTGCACATCAATGCTAATATGCTATTGCTTCTCATGCAACTTCTAATTTGAAGTCAATACACAATGTTGTTCAGGTGGATATATATGGTCAACTACATTGACGAAATCCGTGCCCAAGGTTTTGAAGTTGATTATCTGAACATTGGAGGTGGATTGGGGATAGATTACTACCACACCGGTGCCGTCCTTCCCATACCTAGAGATCTCATTGACACCGTAAGGCTCGGACTCTAAATCTTGAAATTGTTGTTTTGATGTCTTTGGCTTATTCATGCATGAATTATTTGGCCACCTGGTGTGAGAAATAGGAGCTTCAGGCCATAGTATCACACTTTTGCTGGAATCTAAAGTGTTCTCTGTACGTGCTTTATACAATAAAGTACAAGTGCATCCTAATTTTCAGTTCATATACTATGTGAAAATTTCTTTCGCTTTTTGAATAGATGATATGATACTTATTATGGCTATGGTGATTCCCTTGTTTGGCCGTGTTATGAAGTATCGGAATTCCTATGATAGGAACGTTAATTTTTTTACTAATAATGTGTTTTTCTTGACGGTGGTTGGTGTAGGTCAGAGAATTGGTCACTTCAAGAAATCTTAATCTAATCATTGAACCGGGCAGGTCACTCATTGCAAGTCAAACTAATGGAACAAAAAATTTCATCGTTATCGATGGCAGTATGGCTGAACTTATCCGTCCAAGTCTTTATGATGCTTACCAAGTAAGTATCGGTAAAACAGGTCCATAGCGCAGAACCCAAAGCAAAATCATTCCTTAAATGTTGTTGAATGAAACCATATGCTAGAATCTTTCTTATTGAAAGGCTTAGTTCATCTTGCTCGATATGATGGTATCATCATTTTTCATTTTCAAGCTTTAACGGATTTTATGCTGATACTCGTCTTACTTGGTATGACTGTCATCATTTATGGGTTGAGCTTTTGACAAATTTATGCCAGTATAGTCGGTGCATCTTACTGTTTGTTTTAAGTATGTCTCAATCCTGGGTGGCGGTGCCTTTGGTTTGAACTTGTGTTGAAGTCGTTGATTATTAGCACAGTCTCACCTCCTTCACCTATCTGTTTAGTCAATGTCGCAATGAATACGTATTTAGCTTCTGGTTTTAGTATTTCTTTTTAACCATAGCTAGTCATCGGCATCAAATTTTATTGTGTATTCTGAATTACACATTTATACCCGTCCATTCTAAATGGACCATTCTTGTTTGATTGCAGCATATAGAACTGGTTTCTCCTGCACCTCCTGACACGGAGGTTTTTACATTTGATGTTGTCTGTCCTGTTTGCGAATCCGCAGATTTCTTGGGAAAAGAGAGAGAACTTCCAACCCCAGCTAAGGTATTTGTTTTTCCTGTAAGGAGACTGATCGGTGCATTAATCATTCGAGATTTACATCTTCTGAAGTTCTATTTTTGCAGGGGACTGGCCTAGTCGTCCACGATGCAGGTGCATACTGCATGAGTATGGCCTC